TGATTTGAGAAACAAAAGAACTTGTTCTTTTGTTTCTTCAAATTCATTAGAAATAGATTCTTTTTCTTTTCTTTCTTCTTCTAGTAATCGTTGTGTTTCTATAAGTTCATTCTTCAATTCTTCAACTTCTTCTGTAGTACTTATTTGTTCCTTATCTTCTTCTTTTTCTTGAACTTCTTTTTGTATTCTTTCTATTTCTTCTTTCAGGTTTTTAATGTCATTATCTCTTTCATTAATTTCTTCTTGTAACTCTTCTATTTGTTCTTTCTTACTGATTTCATTACCTTCTTTTTCTTGTTCAATTTCTTCTATTTTGTTTTGTAGTTCTTTTAAACTATTTTTCAGCTCATTACATTCTTGACTAACTTCTTCTTTTTCATTACTTATTTGTATTATTCGTTCATTAAGCTCACTTCCATTGAGATTTAATTCTTCTTCTACTTTTCTTTTTTCCTCTTCTATGTTTCTAATTTGTTTAACTAATTCATCTCGTTCTTCTTTAATAGCATTTACTTCTTCATTAACTTGTTTTAATCCTTCTTTTTCAATTGAAATATTATTTGTAAGCTCTTCATTTTCAGATTTTAGTTTATTAATTTCATTTTGAAGCTGGATATTCTTTTCAGTTAATTCTTCTTTATCATTTTTGATTTGATTTAAGTTTTCATTTAATTGGTTAATTCCATCATTACCGTTTGTTAGATCAAGTGATAACTTTTCTTTTTCTTCTTTAAGTTTTATGAGTTCTTGATTTTTTTGTTCTAACTCCTCTTGAATTTTATTGTTTTCCTCTTTTAATTGATTAAATTCATTTTGGATTCCTTCTTTTTCTTTATTTATTGTTTCAATCTCTTCATTCAATTTACTTAATCCATCACTACCACTTGATAAGTCTGACATTAACTTAGATTTTTCTTCTTTAATTTGATTTAATTCTTTTTGAATATTTTCGGATTCTTCTTTTAATCTTTCAATTTCTTTGTTGTTATCAAAAATAATTTGTTTCTTGTTTTCTTCTATTTCTTTCATTTGTGTATTAATTTTATTAATTTCTATTTGTAATTCTTTCTTTCCTTCTTTTTCTTTTTCAATTTCTTTGATTAATTCATTTTTCTCTTCTTCAATCTTTTCTTTTTCTTCTTTGATTTCAGTTTTTTCTTTTTCTTTTTCTTCTTCTATTTGTTTTTTTTCTTCTTTAACTGCATTTAATTCATTACTTATTTCTTCTTTTTCTTTTTTAATTTGCATTAATTCTTCATTCAATTTAGAAATACCATCATTTCCATTTGATAATTCTGTTATTAACTTTGTTTTTTCTTCTTCTACTTTCTTAACTTGTTCTTCAAAGTTAGTCCTTTCTTCTTTTAAGTCGTTTATTATATTATTTAATTCAATAATTTTGTTATCCTGTTTAATTTGTAAATCGTTAAGTTCTTTCTTATTTTTTTCAAGCTCTTCATTAATTGTTTTATATTCTTCATTTATTTTGTTTCGTTCATGTTCAATACCATCTTTTTCTTCAATAACTTGAGTGTATTTATTTTGTGATTCAATAAGATCTTTTTTAACTTCTTCTAGGCTGATATTGCTTTGAGACAATTGTGTTTGTAATGCCATAACCTGTTCATTCATTTGTTTCTCTTTTTCGTTTAACTGTGTGATTTGGTTATTTAATGAACTAATCATTTCATTTTCAGATCCTTCAAAAGACTTCTGCATTTCTGCCATTCTATTCTGAGTTTCTTCTACTTGTTTCTTCAGCCCTTCATTTTGTAATTTAATATCATTTAATTCAGATGTTGCTCTATCTCTTTCTTTTTCAACTTCAATTCGTTCTCCTTTTGATACTTCTAAATAGTTCTTTAGTTCTTCTATAGATGTTGTTAATGAATTAATTTCTTGTGTTTTTTCTTCAATAGACTTTATATTTTCTTCTTTAATTTCTTTGTTTTCATTTGTTATTTTATTTTTCTCTTCTTCTATTTTATTTTTCTCTTCTTTAACAGCACTCAATTCATTAGTTACGTCTTCTTTCTCTTTTTTAATTTCATTTATTTCTTCAACAAGTTTATTTTTTTCTTCTAATTCTTGTTGGAGGGTAGTTTTTTCTTCAATAGATTTTATTTTCTCTTCTTCTAGTTGTTGTTTTGCTTCTTTGATTTCTTTAAGCTCTTCTTCTTTTCTTTCTAATTTCTCTTTTTCTTCTTCTAATTCTTTTTTAATTTCTTCTTTTTCTTTTTTGATTTGAGTTAACTCTCCATTCAATTTAGAAATACCATCATTTCCATTTGACAGTTCTGTTATTAACTTTGACTTCTCTTCTTCTACTTTCTTAACCTGTTCTTTTAATTCATTTTCTCTTTCTTCCTTTTCATGAGTAATAGTAGTTATCTCTTCTTTCTTTTCTTCTAATTCTTGTTTTGTATTACTTAATTCATTGGTAATATTTCCTTTTTCTTCTTCTAACTTTGAGATTTCGTTATTCTTTTGTTCTAGTTCCTGTTGAATTTTATTATTTTCATCTTTAAGATCATTTTCCTTTTGAATATTTTGTTCTTTAAATGATGTAAATTCATTTTTAATTTGGTTAAGTTCATCTAAGGTTATTTCTTTTTCTTTTTTAATTTGCATTAATTCTTCATTTAACTTCGAAATACCATCATTTCCATTTGATAATTCTGTTATTAAATTTGATTTCTCTTCTTCTATCTTTTGTTTTTCTTCTTTAATTTGATTTAATTCATTTTCTATTTCTTGTTTTTCGGTTTTAATTTGGTTTAATTCATTTTCTACTCCAATTTTATCTTCATTTAACTTTGTTATTTCATTTTCTTTTTCTTGTTGAATGAAAATTTTTTCATCTTCTATCTTCTGTTTTTCTTCTTTAATTCGACTTAACTCATTTACTAAACCACTTTTTTCTTCATGTAATTGTGTTATTTCATTTTCTTTTTGTTGTATTTCTTCTTTTGTTTTATTAAATTCATTAGTAATATTATCTCTTTCATTTTTTATTTGATTAAGCTCATTACTGATATTCTCTTTTTCATCTTTTAATTTATCAATTACTTCATTTAATTTAGTTAATCCATCATTTCCATTAGCAATGTCTGTAATTAATTTAGCTTTTTCATCTTCTACTTGTTGTTTTTCTTCTTTTATTTTATTTAATTCTTCTTCTTTTTGAGAACTTTCTATTTTAATTTGATTTAATTCATTTTGAATATTCTCCTTTTCTTGCTGGACTGTGTCATAATGGTTTTGTAATTGACTTTTTTCTTCATTAATTTTGTCAATTTCTATTTGTTTGGCTGAATTATCTGCTTTAATAATATCTAATTCTTGTTTTATACTCTCTTTTTCTTCTGTTAACTTATTCTTTTCTTCAACTATTTGATTTAAATTATTTTCTATCTTTGTTTTTTCATTAAGTATTTGATCTTTTCCTCTTTA